TGTTTGTGAAAATAACATTTGCATTTACTGTGCTGTATTTTGAAAGTGTAAAAAAATATATATTTTATTTACAAACAAGTTCATGAATTGTCTGCAATCCTTTTAATCTTAGTATATGCAAGCATATCATACATCATACTATCAAATACTGTAAATAATGGCAATGTTAACATGCTCATTGACACTCACCATGATCAAGCAATATCAACTCGCTCTATCGTGCAGTTGCAGGATAAAATACAGACACAAATTCAGTATTTAAAATAATTTACAAATTCCATAGTTTATTATAACTTTGTTCATTATTTCATGTACATGTGCCAGACTGGATTGGTTTAATTTTATATAAACGCTAAAAAGAAATCAACAAGTTGACTTAAACACTCTTTTAGGCACATGAATAATTTTATTGTTAAAAAAGTACTACTGTAACATTAATCTGAATCGGGCCGGCTTTATCCATCCTTTTTCTCTATTAGGTCTTCAGGAGAATCTAAAATGGTTTACATCTGACAGTGACACTGATGATTGCAATCTGAGGAACAAAATACTGGACCATTTTCTGAACACAATCCCTGCGCTGACTGCTTACTTTATCTGCAGAAAAATATAATGAAAAATATATTAAACTGTTGTGTATATTTAGAAAAATAGGAGATAAAATTCAATACTACGTATACAGGCTACAGCTATCTGGCTGCAGCTAGGCCTAATTAAGAGAACAGTGGGCTAACACCGCACCGCCGATCCCAACAGGGATGCTCACTGAAATACAGGCCTCTACTAGCGAGGCCTAGGCCTCTCTTGACGTTGGCTGAAGTAGAGTTACGAATGGCGTGGTATTTACCATTTATGTAGACTTGAAAGTTACTTAATTACATAACAACTAACTTAAAAGTAATATTACTCGTGGATATCGTCTCGTACATTTTTTCTACAAACAATTAAGTGATATGACGTACGTATCGGCGGTGTACCGACGCCTAGACCTACGCTCCGGAAGATATTAAAATGATAATTTTTTTAAATTATGATTCGAAAATGAAGATGCATTACGATATATGGTAAATAGATTATTTAGTATTAGTGTCTTCCCAAAATAAAACTGGATTATACAATGTAAGTTACGGAAATAGCGATATCAAATACTGTACTACAAAACTCAGTGCACTGCGAACAAAAAAATAAAAAAAAATGGCCGATCAAGGTTTGTTTGGCCCAGCGAAACCGGTAACCAAGAAACATGAAGTCACACTTTTCTCCATTACTTTGACCCCGGGGAGATGCTTGTATCTGATTTGCTTTCACACAAAAGAGGTCACAGCTCGCTGGCCACCCGCTTGCAAGCGGCTGTTCACATGGATCAAGAGCGAGCTGCATCGAGAGCCGCTCGCGAGCGGCTTGTCGTGGGTCACCCATGACAAAAACTGCTCTTGAGCGGTTGTTCACATGAAGGCCGGCTCGCGAGCCGATCGTTCGCTTGCGAGCGACCCAAGACGTGAACGCGGTATCAAGGACTAATGGTCTGGGGGAGGGATGTTCCTCCTTTATCTAATCAATTTTAAACGTAAGAGATATTTTGGCTGCTGCTGGGGGTGGGGGGTTTGATTGTTCAGCTCGTAGTAGATCTGTGGTTTTGCTGTTAGGTGTTTTCCCTCTAATCCTTTCCAATCCTTTTCTCATTCAATTAACTATTTTTAATAGTGAATTCTTTGTTAAATAATAATTTGCCATTTACTTTACTACAGGTATATTTAATATATCGTCCACATCAGATAAATCAAATTCAGGTGCGAAAAACTCTGATGGTATTATACAACTGAAGCCAAACAAGCAACGAACGAAGGGCAAGAAGCATCCTCTAAAAGCATTTTGTACTATCCTTTGAAAAAATGGTATCTTCCATTCTTCTTTTCACTTTACACATATTATCTGCTTCCAAAGTATTGTATGTTTTAGATATTTCCCTAAGTTAATAAATATAAGAATTAGTTAATTCTTTATTTCAGGAATTATTTATCAGACCTCAAAGGATTCAGTAAGCCTGTTTAGGCGAGACTTTTTTATACCTTGTTTAGCGAACCTGCCGACTGCAAATGTTGATGATTTCGAATATAAGTAAAATTTTATTTTTGGCCAACTAGGACACCCGCCACCACCAAAATAAGTAAACATTTCAGAAAAAAAAAAAGTTTTTCTTTATTTTTATTACGTCCTCTGCAGCCTTAAAATCTCCAAAGATAAGATATGTAAATTTCTTCTTAATTTTATAAATTTGAAACATTTAACCATCCTATTTTACATTCACCAATAGAATTTTATCTTTATTTTCTCCTCCGTCTGGATGTTTTAAGAAAACAAAATTTATATTTATTTTTATTCCGCCCTCCCCCGGTGACCTTTAAAAAAAGTAAATACGCGAAACAAGGAATAAAACATGTCTCGTCTTACCGCTAGACGAACTTATTTATGCGAATTTAAAGCATTGGTTTTTTTCCTGTGCTTTGATTGGTTGCGCATTTTTTCACTTTGCAAAAAGTAGAAATAGTTTGAACTACTGATTTCGCTGAAGTGAAAAACTCTGTTATAAATGTAAATGTGCGTGTGCATGAACTGACGCTTTTGATTCGCATTAATAAATTCACCTAATGGAAAAAATGATTTAGTTATTGAAATAGGAATTAATTGACTCCTCACAAAAGGAATTCTTCAATAGACATGAAGGGATTTAGTTTCTTTAAGTTTCTAAAAATATTAATTATTTGAATCTATTTTCCTTAAGTTGTTGGTTGAAATTAGGAATCATTTGACTACAACTTGTTGAATTAATGGTTTCTATGTATTCATCAGTGTAACTGATGCAGTTTAGTAATGGATTCAGTTCCCTAAGTTGTTCACGAATATTCTCCTTAACTTGAATCTAATATTTTGAATGAAGGCTGATGATATTGCCTTTGTTACTTAAAACTTAGATACTTAGAATTTTTATTACATTCGTCTGTCACTATTTTAGGTAAATTGGTTTTGTATCAATGTGTATAAAACTGTATGGTTTTTCATCAGCATTTTGAAGTCGATATTCATAAGAATATTATTATGTACCAGACGCTAGTAGAATTCACTGAAAACAATCACTTCATGATGAATACCGGCTATACTTTAATGTTTGAATAAATTAATCTGTTTTTAAAAGATTATTTGATTTAACTTACAAGTATAAACAAGACTGAAAAAAAAAAAACCAGATTACGTATTTACCACAACGTACTTAAATTGGTATTCTATAATAAACAATTGTTTATTATTATATTTGCCATGGTTTTTATACAAATTTCTATTTATAGTTAATAATTGAAAGTAATAGAACATTATAAAACACTCATTACTACTGTAATTTTATTGTTTTTGGAAATTTGTGAAATATTAATTGCCTCATAAATTGTAAATAACAAGAAATATTTAAGATATTAGTATGGTTCATAAGCATATTAAAATATGAAATGTTAATAGTAATATGGATTTTATAATGCACACGTTATTCAAGCATGCTACTGTACAGTTCACATTGGCACATATTAAGTTATAGTGTAGCCATTTGAATTGGGTTTTTTTTCTAACAATACTATATAATTTTGTTGAATGCATCCTATGCTTTTGTATTGATTGTTATGAAACATGATTCACCGATAGTATTCCCTCCAATCGCAAGATGCCCTCCAGCGTTATTTATTCCACCATAAGTAGTCGCACCATGACATGATATTCATGAAAGTGATTTCAATTTTCAAATTTTGAGGATTTTTGTTTGATTTTTTTCTCATAAACTGTAGTAGATTTGGTCTAAGATTTTCAAAATATATTTGCAAAATTTAGACATTTGAAACCAAAAAAATATGTAAGGTTTTGTTCTAAAAGTTTGTATCAAAATATTATGCATTATATAGAAAGTCAAAAAAATACTTGAAAATTTAAATAATTGACAATAAAAAAAATTGTTAATGTATATATACCACAGTGTATTACACACTGAGCCTTGAGTGTTGATATATAATTTTATATCCACTAGTCAACCAGTTTCTAATTTCCACTGTATTGAACATTAGTTACCATAGCAACACTGCCTTACAGGTATACCATCTGTGTTTAAATCTAAAAAAAACCTCAATCAATTTTTCCTTAAGTAAATCTAATTCAATGGGACATATGAATACAGCTCCATTTTTACTGATTTTACAAAAGGCATGGGGGGCCCAGCTGGCCCGGGACCCCGCCCAACATGTAATTTAAATTGCATAGCGCCGTCTAACCATAAAGTTTACTCAACCCACTTTAATTTCGCACTAGGGGTACTTATTGTATTACTTTCAACTTTATTTTTTTTAGTGTTTGAATAAGTATGCTTATAGTTTGAATTTTTTTTTTTTTTTTTTTTTTTTTCAAATTTTAATGGTTCATTGTTAATTAACACTATATAAAATTGCATAAAACTATTTTTTGTGGACAAGAATATTATTACTCTTTATATTATTATTGTTTTCTTATATTTCATGGGTGTCATTATTACATAGAGTTGGAGTGCAATGTCTCTAATCATAAAAAGGCTATGTAAACATTTTTTAATAGTGTGGTGATTCTTCATTAGTGAGCTTTTGATTGAGAACATAGAACGGAAACGTAGAACGGATTCACTCATCCGTCACTGTCGTTGCATGCATTCTACATTCTGCTTCATATCACAATTTTTTACAACATGTACACAGATATGTCACAATCGCAAAAACCGAAGTACCCCATTGTTTATTACAGTACAGTCCTTGTTCTGACCTGAACATAGATTCAGCCGAAAATCATTCCAGATTTAGGGAGCGAACATAACGCACAACATTCAGACATGCGCAGTTAAATTAACATGACGTCATCAATACGTTCTACATCTTCACATAGCAAAAGCTCCCTATTTATGTAGATGACTTGTGTGCACCAGTACATGAATAAGTGCAAGTTTCTTTATTGGTTAGCATAATTACCTTGAAAGATAATATAATAAGGAATCCTTGAAATTAAAATTACAAAATGAAAGCATTCCATGTATGATGATCTGGCCTAGAAATGATCACTACTTAATTAAAAGAATGTAGAATGTCTGTAGTCCTAATTTATAAATGCAAACCCATCATATTAATAATAAGTCTCTATTTTTCAGTAGGTATGTTTAGATGAGCTAAGAGTAAGCTTGCAGTAGCCCCCTAATTATCACACCTTGAATAGTGCCATTGAAGAGGCTTTTTGTAAAGGTATTCAGAGTAATTAAGGAATGTTAGCTCACACATGCTCACACTATGTGCAGTTGGTGCACTTCAAGTAAATATGACATTTGTATGTTTTTCAAGAAATGTATAGTACTGATTAAAACAGCAGTTCCTTGTGATGTTTTTAGGCATCGTTTTTGTATATTTATTTTCAAGACTGCAGAACTACTTTTTCGGGGAATGAGAGCAGCGATTATCAGAAATTCTGTATACAGTACGTAAATATGCACTTTTTCCATGAGTAACATATGGATGCTCATTGTAGGTTGTAAATTTCCTTCAGAGAGAAAGCCATCTTAACATGCCTGGTTTTCCCCTACTTTTTAAGTATAACTCAAGGTTGGTGAGTAAGGATTCTGTTGTTCTGTTATACAGAGATGCTAAGTCTGTTTTGTGCTTCTCTCCAACACTGAAAGTTTAAAAATGTTGTTTCTTTGTAGCTCTTTATCAGCTTTAGTATCCTCATTCCATTCCTGTTTGTCATTCCACCATTTTGATATGAAATACGCAGTCCAGAACCATTTAATATTTTGAGTATTAAATAAAAAGCTGATAGCATTTTATTTATTTGTAATTGCAATTGCAGCACCTTGATTTAGATTGATGAATTATATTAGCCAGTAAACAAAAATGCCAAATAGTCTTTGATACAATAATTTTGATATATTTGATTGACAAATTTTGAATAGAATCCACTCTAAGTCTTCTAATCACCTGAAAATGAAAGATATATTATTCATGTGCTGTATTGATTGTCAGATTTTTTTACATTTTATTCAGAATTTCTTGATAGTGTTTTTCATAGTCAGCCAAGTGAGGTTTGCCATCCCAAAACCAGTGCACTTTGTATTGCTAAATGTTAAACTGAGTAATTAGCATAAGAATGTGGTAGTATTGTTTACTTTAGTACAGAGAAGCTGTAATGCTTTTACTCATAACATTTGCAATATTAAGTCGACCCCTGTAAATGACCATTCATTTTAAAGCTTATAATGTGGAGGGTGGAGATTATGAATGACATGCCATCCCAAAACCACTGCACTATTGTATTGCTAAATGTTAAACTGAGTATTAGCATAAGAATGGCACTATTGTATACTTCAGTACAGAGAAACTGAAAATGACCCATCATTTTAAAGCTTATAATGTGGAGGATGGAGATAATGAATATATTAAAATGTCAATTTTCATGTTTTGGTCACTGATCTTGGTTTTGGCATGACAAGCTCCAAGTGTATTTCTAAAGTTAAAGCCTGTTATTGATACCTGGCATATGAATGACATTAATTCGTAAGGTGGAAAACAGAAATGAAATGAGATAAGCGTGATACAATGTACTGTATGTTTGTGTACAAAAAAGGTCTTTTGTATTGAGTATAATAAATGAAGTGTTATTAGATCCCTGTAGAGAATTGTGGATGTACTGTATACAGTACAAGAAGTCTTGTAACCTTATTACCACAAGAGGTTATAAGCATTCTCTAGTAATGTAATAATGTATTATCTACTTGTTTACAATTTATTTTTGTTTTACTACTGCTGGTACTAATGTTATTATTGTTGTATTATATTTTTAAATTATTATATTTTACTTATTTACCTTATTGTATACACACATTTTCTTTAATTCACATTGAAAATATTTTATACCTTGAAAACTACAGCACTAAATTTATGTTTAGATGATTTCTAATAGTGTATAACTAATATAACTAATTATCTTTTGATATTGTAAAACCTATATAACTTGTGATATTGTATGGTTTTTTTTTGTTGTCCTACAATTATTTGCGATCAGTTAACTTTATTTTGATATACCATAGCATTTATACATAGGTTATGATAGATGTGTATAAGAGACAGTATGAATACAGCTCCATTTTTACTGATTTTACAAAAGGCATGGGGGGCCCAGCTGGCCCGGGACCCCGCCCAACATGTAATTTAAATTGCATAGCGCCGTCTAACCATATTAAGAGTCAAGATAAATATAAAGTTATTTGTGCATACATTGTTTAATAGAATTAACTATCTAAATAATGTTAAATAAACGATTTGTTTAACACTTCCAGAAATAATACTTTGGGACATGATTAAAAAGACATTAAACTGTTGATCTATAGTGAAAAACAAATTTTGATTTTTTTTTTTTTTGGCAATTTTTTGAGCTCCCATATTTTATAGCCCATTTCCTCAATACTGGCCTGTGCGACAACTTAACCATTTTGCCACGACATGCCTCATATGTATATATATATATATATTATATGTATATATATTACATGTATATATATATGTGTATATATGTATATATATGTACATTTATCGTAGTACTTTTATGAATTATTGTTTGCATGGAAGGAAGGTTTGTAAAATATTTTATTATGAAACATCAAATGATTTTGCCAAAGTATCATCAATGGCTTTGTACTGTAAAATGACAATAAAATGAAACTGATAGATATTAGCATCACCATGACTAAAATATTGATTTATATTAGTATGTACCCCTGATATCGTGGTAGGTAAAACAGGGTGAAAAGTGATTTGATCCCAATAATTGGTTCGTACATTGATGGATTTTTAATAAATTATTTCCCATTGATATAAGAAGTCATTGAATAAAATGGCCTTCGCGTTGTAAGGGATTTTTTTATAGAGATAATGAAGGAGCAGACAATTAAGAGCCAATCAGTGATCATGTACATTACACAATAATTGCATCATTGTAAATCATTAGTAATCAAGTCAACGTATTGTTAAATCAAATAACGTATTCTTTGTAACGTTTGCATGAGTATATATGACACTATTGCATGTGTTGTACAGTGTCTAATTAACCGTGTGGGTGACAGCACTGGGAGAGTGCTTGTCAACTACATAATAATATTTCATGCTTATATGCCATGTTAATCTACAGTATGTATTATATTAAAAAACAAAAAAAGGTTTTTACTTGAAAGTGTTAATGTTAGCTTCTTGTTTGCTCATATCATAATACAAACAAACATTAAAGACAGAAATGCCCATTACTATTAAACATTAAACGAAAGAAAACAAAATTAAAGCATGTTAATGAATTATATAGGACAGATCTGAAATTAACATTTGTTTTCAAGAGAATTAAATAAGTTAAACTTGGTTTTTCTATAAAATTGCTACACTCTTGCTACAGTATTTTTACAGCAATCTTGACACTGCATAGTTGTCTCATTGAGGAATTAGTCTAAACTAATTCCTCCATGGTTGTTCATGATGCAATTTACAAGGTTTCTGATTTAACTAACCAATCGGCACCATTTTTGTTGATTTACACATAACAACAATCCTTTGGCAGTCAATACTGGAGTCTGTAAACTTATTTTTATTACAGTACTTGTATTTAATTGGTAAGGAATATTATTTTCTCATTCTAATCTTTTGTTGAAATCTAATAAATAATCTATTAGAGTATCATCTTTTCAAATTATATGCTCAATTGAGTTTTTATGTTAAATAACATTTAAAATTATCATGCTGTGATATTTTTAGAACTGCAAGAGACGAATTGTAGACAACCAACTTCAAGAAAAAGAATAATAAAAGAAAAAATAAGGAAATATATAATAAAAGAATGCAGACATGTTTTAGAAGGGCTTATCATGTTTGGCAAAAATTTTGCCTCAACTAAAATAGACATTCAATTACTGTAGTTTTCAAATTTGTTTTTTGTTGTAGATACAACTTTATTCTGTTCAACAAGCACTCAACCTCAATACATCTATGTAAAATTTAACAAATTTAATTTGGTAGGTTAGATACAACACAAGTAGAATTTAGAGAGTAAACCTGATACAGCATCAGATCCAGAGATTCCATAGTGTTACAACACACATTGTACTTGTATAGATGTATTCAAATATATTTAATGTAGCAGCAGTATGATAATACAAATATAAAAGCATTGTTTTCAAAACTGCATTAAGTGCATATATAGATGGTCGAGAAAATGTATAAACATACATCAAGGTCATTTTCTAGAAAGATGATACACAACACACAGTTAAGGTAAAATATATGTATCAAATAGAGTTTACAATAATGAAAATAGAAACATAAGAATGGAAAACACCAATAAAATAAAGTACACAAAAAAATAATGTAATAAAGACCCAAAAAAAAAGGTAAAAAAAAGGTCAAAATGAGATATCAGCTGGTTATAACTTAAAATAGACCTCAAAAGTATCGATCATTATTGCACTTTGTATTTCTAAAGCCAGGCACACTTCATGGAGAACGCAACTTATCAATGATAAACTGCAGACTGCCACCGACAATCAGCAGACAGCATCACGTCGGTCATGGTTCTGTCTAATACAACTGTCGGCTGAAGCAGAGTATACCCGGCTTCAGTGTTTCTAAGCACCATACCATGTTCTTTCTCATTCAACATGAACCAGTCAGCATATCTTTCAGATTTATTTAAAATCAATAAATTAGAATAAATTAGATCTGTCAGATTTCAGTGAGAACACATTTTATAAAGATGGATACACCTGTTCAAGTGGAATACAATGTAACTGCCAAGGCCTCTACATAAGTTGTGCAGGCTGTAGTACAGTTTATAATGCACGATTTTTACCCTCTTTATCTGGCTTCACTGAGCTTTTTAGGCAGACCGCCGTACAAGAACAGCGTATTATAACACCTGATAAAATGTGCATAAACGGTCAAAAATTGGTATCTACATATACATAAAAACTTTTTAACTACTATTATAAATAAAACTAATAATTGATTAATTAATTTAATAAAAGCAATTCATAAAGATATCTACATAATCTCTGTTGAGCTATTACTGTAAACTTCGAAAATAACATACTGTACTAAAATAAAATATGTGCATTGTTGTCAACTGAACAAGATATAGTAACTTTGGTATGGAGTAACACTTTCACTGGTGTTAATAAATTATCTTTGATTGAACAAAATATATTGATCACAAGTAAACAGATGCATACAGTATATTAATTACATTTCCTACATCATTTGCATAATCATAATTATATACACTGAGTTTGTTCAGACTTTTTGTCTAATAGAAGCTTGTTACATAACAGACCATTCCGCTATTAGCCCCACCCCTTGGATGTTCAAAAACAGCGTAAATGTGCGTCTGTGTGACAACATGTGTTTTGGAATTGATTGACACTTTGGAAAGGTCATTATCAAACAAACTGTCCAACTCTCCAACATTTTCTAAAAGGTAATATTTTTTGTCATTTTCACTTGCATTTCAATGATGAGTCTTTCAAATTGTAACATGATCTGAGAACCTAAGCTTAAAAATATTCCAAGATATAAACATTGAAGCTTACTGTAATAAAATGGATCACTATTGTACAGTATATTAAAATTACTGTACTAGGAAGATGATGACATAAATGTAAAAACCAACTTTCACATTTATGGTTATATACAACATATGACTTTATCTAGTCTACGATCGTCTGACACAGCAAGTCTCCGGCATAAGATAAAAAGAAAACCAAATGGATTATTTTAAGTGGTCCCTCCTTATTGGATAAGTTCAGTTTGGATCTGGCAGCAACCTTTATTCAACATTTTTAAAACTTGTATAAATGGTCTTTAAATCCTTATATTTTACAAATAAAATGAATAAGGTGGAATTTACATATAATTGGTTCATTATAATATAAAGGGGAATAGTAAATAAACTAAACCCCAGTATATACAGTCTATTAAAACTTGTTAAATGGGGTTATAATTATCCATATTTTTAAATCTAATATTTTACAAATAAAATATATATATATTCCTGCATACACTGTTTAATTTTAGCTTTTTCAATTTTAAAACAAGATAATGTTACTGCACACCAGTCAATGTTTCCCACACAGGGGAATGCTTTAGTATCCCATGTTACATTAGGGCAGAGAAGGCAAACTTACTAGACTGCTACATCAGTCTTTTAAGTAGTGCATAATGCAATGCTGCAATGTGGAAGAAAACTACATGGCAAAGAAAGGAACTGCCACTAAAACAAATAAAAACAACACATGGAACAACCGAAAAATCAATAGCGGGTGGTCATCTAGAAGGGTAACAGGATTCCAACCTTTTCAATTTTAATTACCAAATAATTTACAATAATTATTATACAGTACTATTGATCTATTCCTGTAATGTTTTTAACTTCCTTTTTATGCTGTTATTTCATTGTATATCGCTGTCTTTTATTGTTTTTTGATGTCCTTTTATTGTACTTTTTAACAATTTATGAATGAATTTTAAACTGTAAATCACAAGCAATTCAGTCTTGTTACTGCCATTTGTGATCTGAATAAATTGAAATTGAAATTGAATTATACAGTATCTTATTCGCTACATTATTGACTGTTTCCCATTGGTTAATTTTCTATAACACTTTTGGAATATGTTTGTAATGTTAGAATCTTTATTCTTTCCTGATGATGATCTAAGAAAAGATCAAAATATTGAATCAAAATGACTAGATTCACTTTATTTGGAGTATGTTTTATACTAAGTTATTATACAGTAGGATGGTGTACCATGCTCCTGGCTCGCCATGCAACAACATTTAACATATAATTTCATATGATCATCTTAATCCTAGCCCAAACTACACTCCGAATTACAGTACAGGTATATCGTCAGATATGAACATCTCTCAAGAGGTTCCCACTTTTGTGTTGGGCCCTCGGGCCACAGCTTCCTCTTTGACAGTTTGTCGAATTTGTAATAAATAAATAAACATTTGGTCTCATGCATAAAAACACTGCATTTGTGAGAAATGTTACTGTATACTATACTTAACAATGAAGACAAATAATAACCAGCAGGAAGCTGATTGTGAATTGAGGCTGCTGGAGGACACATGGATCTGCAGTGTTCTAGGGACTTAAGGGGTATAGGAGCCCTGTCCTTAACATCCCTGTTACCTGCTGCATGCTATAGACAATTTAACACAACACTAGGAGAAGTCTTTGCATAATTCATCAACAACTTTCTCAGAATTAACCAACACATTCTGTATTCCTTTTAGCCGCTTTTTAACCTCTTTTTGGTCCTCGGCTGCGCAATCTAAAAGTATCGCCTGAAACTTGTAATCCAGCGCCCCTTCACCATCTGCAGTGCATGTGTTCAAGTATCGCTGAATTTTATCGCGTGTACCAGCTTTATTGATTAGAATGTCTTCTTTCAACTGTTTCAGAATATCTTTGACTTTGGTGATAGCGCATTCCTGGTAAGTGCTCCTTACTGTAATCACGTTCAATTCAACAGTTATGCATCGCTTGCACAATCGATCAATATAAAGCTCTAGTTCATCTTTCTTATCTGTGAGAAAAACAGAAACTCACATTTTTAATGCATGAAATAAATTTCAAAAATTCATCTGAACAGTGTTCCTTCTGTGCTGACTGGACATTGGCTACTGTTCTACACACGAAGTGGTGAAATCCTTTTATCATAATTTTATAGCCAATCAGAGAACTGCAGGTATGTGTAAGAAGAGTGTAAGTGCTGTGACTGACCAGGTCAATAATTGTTTCTTGTTCTTATCTCAGTTTTGTGCCAATTTTTCTTGCATTATATTCATCCAACACTGTATTAAGTTTCAAAACTGAGCTCTTAAGATTCACTTATCATACCCAGGATCATACCAAACAAAGCACTGACAATTATCCTCCCTGGTCATATCTGATCTGAAGGACGTTTGTTATGTTAATATAGGCTAGGTATATTCATGGAGGTATAAAATAATATTTTTATACCTCCATGGAGTTATAAAATTGAATAACTCCATGATTCAAAATTATAACTCCATGATTCAACCGACTAATAATGATGGGTAACCAAGACTACTACTAGCCTACTAGGGCCTACTACCAACTCCTAGGCCCTAGATTCCTAATTCATACTCACCCTGCGTTAAGTCACTTATCGCCTGGCTCTGTGATATTTTATTTATTCTTTCTAAAATTACTGTTTTGTCTTCTTGAAGTGTTTTAGCTGTGTCTCTAAAACGTTCAACTTGTCTTTCCAGTTCATCTAGTGTTTTCAGCAAGTACTCAAAGGTTGGATCCTGTTCACAATTCTGCTGATTGTCCTTCTTCGGCAACTCCTGTAAGGCGTGATTCTCACAAGCCATTTTTACGACAGGCTTATAAATTGATCTTAAAAGCTATTGAAATTGAAATACTTATTTAAAACACAGTAAAACCGCTAGACCATTACTCTCTTTCTATCAGATTCTCTACACAACAGCAAAGACCTAGAGCTTGTCTAGAGCAGTAAATAATTATACCGCCCTCTATAGGTAAACACCTACATTTCTTCAATCACCCATCCACATTGTTTTTAATTCTGTCATATCGAAGTTATTGTCTACTTCGATAATGGCTTTGATTTAAAAATATATTGTTGCATAAAACAATATTTTTTATAATATGTTTTTTGTGGTTTCACTTTAGAACTATCATCTAAGTATTCAAATAAATATAACAATATGTATTAATATTTTCATTTTTCTTATTCTGGAAACCATAGTTGCTAGAATATAATGATATTTAGACGGTATTACGGATGCTATTTGCACGTTTAACACAGTTTCCCGGCAAGAGTAACAACAATCTCTCCGGGCGAATAGCTACGTGCTAAATACCTATCGCATGTGTCTTGTCGAGAAGTGCCGAGCCCAGATTTATCCTTAAACACAGCTTGTAAAGAACGTTTAATGGTAACATTATGCCGACTTTTAAAGGTTTGTTCTCCTTCAATCCATATTCCAGCTATAATATTCCCAATTAAGTTACGTACGATGATTTAGGGCCTAGGTTAGGCCTTGGCTCAGCAACACAACCCAACGAATGACCGCCGGTATAATTATATGTAGGCCTACCTAGGCTACTGAACGTGGGTAGCACCGGGACTGGGCAGGTGGGCCTAGCCTAGGCCATAGGCCTAGAGCTTGGTCTTTAAATAGAAAGAAGAGGCTTCACGAGTTATTCAAGAGATGGACTATTGTAAATGTTGATTATTTTAAGCATCTAGGCTTGGTAGGACTGGAGTTCGAGTTACTTGAAAGCAATTAAATTAGCATTGTTTGAAAAAACAAGAGCGACTGCACCAGTAGTACAGTAGGTCAAAAGGGTATTCGGTCAAAACGGCAAGGGATTGGCTATATGTACAGCGGCTGTGTATACAACAAAAGTGGTTTTGTTATATGCACACCGACAAGCAACCAATTGCAGCACACCATAGTATCACATGATTTGAAAAGCTCACTTTTTAAAAACAATCAATTTTGCGGTCTATTGTTCGTGATTCTTTGCACAGAGTGGACGTGATATTTGATATTAAAACACCTTGACTACTGATCTGTTTTTTTTTAGTTTTGTCAATATGACAAGGCTTCAACTGGGACATACCTTCTTAGTATTATACTACTACTATCTACTGTAATATCATAATGGAATGCAGTGTATGACATGATTGGGCCTGAAATCTATGCTTTTTGTTTGAATGTCTTAACCAATATAAACCATCTACAGTATACATATATTTTCTTTTTAGTAAATATTAAATGGGGACGTGAGAAATTTGAAAAAGTTGAGTGCAACACAGATGAATCCCCAGAACTGTTCAAGGCCCAGCTGTTTGCTCTATCAGGGGTGCAGCCTAATAGGCAGAAGGTGATGTTAAAGGGTGCTGTTTTAAAGGACGATGACTGGGGGACATTTAAGTTAAAGGATGTAGGTGTTATTATTATTATGATATTTATAATATTAAAATAAAGGTTGATGAAGCATGATGTACACGTTTATACTTTTTCTGTGGGACACATAATATGCAACACAAAAGTATTAAATTTAAACAGAACTTATAATTGAGAGGTCACACGTCTAAGTAAAATGATGATTGACAAAAGTATAGCTGTAACCCATGTGTGTTAGAAAGAACAAGCACTTTAGTCTATTGATATTCTTGTATGAATTGTAGATGTAAGAACGTGGAGTGGAGATCACTGAAAAAATGAGAGAAAAGTAAGTGAATGAGGAGATGGACAGAGAAGAGGATGAACGACAGATGGAGGTGAAGATGGAGAAAAATAAGATGAAGTAGATTCAGACAAATTGAGATCAATAAAGAAAGCCTTACCTGCTGTTTCAAAGCACCATTCTATACTTTGGAGGGGGTGGGAGTGTAGGAGTTTCAATTTTCTCAACCATATACACAAAAAGACACTAGATGTGGAATGTTGGTTGTTGAGTATAAATACACAACTTTTAATTCATCATTTGCATCATAAATACTATTTTTAGGGCTCTACATTTTTAATGATGGGCACTGCTGATGAGCTACCAAAAGAACCAGTACAGAAAACTATGTTTGTTGAGGACATGAGTGACCAGCAGTTGGCATCTGCGGTATTTATTCATTTTGACTGTAATTGATCAACCTTTGCACAGTCCATTTTTATAAATATTTAATATTTTTCTATGCAAGTGATTTTTCAACTGGTGGCTGGTCTTAATAATATCTGTCTATGTTTATAACATATGGGAATATAATAATATTCATTTTTGAGGCATGAACTAACATATTAAAAATATTGGAAAAGCCAACTTTTTGCTCATTAATTTAGTCTAATATCAGCTCTCAATTTGCAAACTTTATCAAATGAAAATAGAATTGAACCACTGCTTAGTGTGCTGTATATCTGCAGTAAACTGTATATATTTTACATATGTAAATGTTCCCATGTTTCATTTCTGAGGAGTAAAGAAACAAGATTCTATATCTATATTGTCTAATACTAATATATTTTTTATGTTGACTCAAAGGGAAAATAAAATGCAACAGAAATTTTTGTATTCAATTATTTTTTTATGATTTTATTACAGCTCAATTTACCAGCTGGTCTAGAAAATCTTGGCAACACTTGCTACTTGAATTCAACGCTTCAGTGCTTTCGCAGTGTGCCTGAACTACGAGAATCACTCAAAAAGTAGGAATGAAATTTAAAAACTGTTTTTCTAATCCTCTTTATAGTGTTTTATTTTTTATATTACTGTAGCCTTGATTAAAATTTTTATACTTGTATATATATATATTCATTCAATTAAAGTGAATTTAGATTTTCTTCAGTTTATTTTAATTTTTTTTATTTTTTTATCTCGTAGGTTTACTGGAAGGATAAATCCTTCTGTAGTTAACATCCAGCCAGCAGAATCCATCACATCCGGTGTCCGTGATTTGTTTATGCAAATGGACAGCACAGCCGAGGAAGTTCGACCAATCATGTTACTACGGTTACTGCATCTTGCTTTCCCACAATTTGCTGAACGAGCAGAGAACGGTGCTTTTAAACAGCAGGTCGAGCTCTTCTCATTCGCTTTCATTTCTCTCATCGTCTTTCAGTGTTTTCCTCCTCGTGTTCTCATAACATCATCTCTATAATCTTCACACCTTAGAAGTGATGCTATAAAAACATGTTATTCTTATTATGGGTTATTAGTGGTACCTGTTAATACAAATAGTTCAGTTTACTACAGAGGATCGTGCTGGCCAACCATCCTTCCTATATGGAATACCTTGCCTGTGGTAGTTGTGATGGTAATACTAGTACATTAGTGCAATTGATGAACAATGAACTAGCTGCGTTGGCTGGAATTAATCCTTGAGATTTCCTTATTTATTTATTTTTTGAGCTGTTTATTCTTTTATCATTTTATTATTATTATTTTATATATATATATATATATATTTTTTTTTTTTTTTTTTTTTTTTTTTTTGGTGTTTATATTTAAATCTCATGTTTGTCTTGCTGTTTCACCTTTTTGATGTGTGTGAGTTCAACGTTTTTCAGCCATCTGGCTGCTTGTATATTTTACACCACAGAAAATAAAAATAAATAAATACGTTTTCCAGGATGGCAAATTCATATTTATTGGCGTAAAACCCAGGCTCCTAGTGTCATGGTCTTTATATAGCATGAAGATGTTTGTAGCTGCTTTTCCTTGCAACTGCATCCAATTATTCCATACATTGTGTTGATGTACTTGTGATTATTTAATGGTCAGTGGTGTGATTTTTTCGTTCTCAATTTCCTTTGATTTGGTGGACGGACTGCATGCGGGTTCTTCTTTGTAAATATAAAAAAAAAAGGAGTGGACGACTTGTTTTGCTTGTGAGGAAAATCTTTGATGTTGCAGGATGTAAACCAAGCTGCAACTCCACTTCATCCTTATTCATCTCATGTGTTTTTTATTTTTGTAAACAATAGTAAATGATTTGTTTATTATGTTAAAATTCTACTCCTAGGATGCTAATGAATGCTGGATTCAATTGTTCCGTCAACTTGAAGACCAACTTCCTGCTTTAACAGCGTCCACTTCAGCAGCGGAAGGAGGAAGCCAGGGAGCTGCAGCATCATCTCCAAAGACCAGTTTTATGAGTCAGTATTTTGGTGGCCAGTTCCAATGCAGGTAATTCATTATGATTTAAAATGGGAACAGTTGACATACAGTAATTCTTAATGCTCTTGTTCTTCAGGTTAGGGGTTAGAATCCCATTTTGTTTTAATACTCCAGAAGTATGAGGCCTGCTTATACCAGCATGACAATTGACATAGAGTGAGAGGCCTACGGTAGAGTTTATTCATATAATTGGGGTTAATATTGCATTGGTATTTAAGCATTATTTCTCCAGCTGTCTTTATGGCGTAACTTTTTTTTCATATCAGTGTAAAGCTCATCTCTTTTTTCATGTCGTCTAGCATCATTGTTTTTTTTCCTTGAGGGTTTTTTTTAATTCTTTCCTGAAACGTTCCTTTCATATGGCTATAACTATAATGTTTATTATTGTTACTCATTTTACTGTATAGAGTAAATACCTGATCACTTTATGGAATCATTTAGGAGGGAATTCACATTTTTATATCTACTCCAACAGTAAATGTATATTCATTGAAAAGTAGTTTGGTTTAAATACCCTTGATAATTGTTATTTTTCTCACTAGTCTAAAGTGTGATGAATCTGAAGAAGAACCAGCGAAATCTTCCATTGAAAATTTTTCACAGTTAAGTTGTTTTATTTCGCAAGATGTGAAGTACATGCATACAGGTCTTAAATTGGTAAGCCATGAAGAGATTTGAATAATAATAGTTGAGATTTAAATAACAATGACGATGGTAAAATACTATTAAAACCTTTTAAAATATAAACAAAAATCATAGTAAAAACAATGATCACATACTGACTGGGGTAACATTTGGAAAAGCCTAAACAAATTAAGTATCATTCCTACTAAACATTCTATGGATTGTTTTTGTGAGGACCTTAGCAACAGTATCCAAGGGGCAGGGCCAATAGGTTATCAAGGCAGAGGGTGTGACAGGTTTTAGTTTCCCTTGTCTTTGATTTTTGGATGTATTTATGTAAACATGATATGTTAATGACTTTAATAGAACATGAATACTATGAGAGATGAAGTATACTCAACTGTCCTTACATTTACCAGAATATGGCTCAAATTAACTAGCTTTTTTTGAAGAAATGATAAATAAGAAATACACTGTTGAGTAGACACTCAGATAAGTGGAAATACACCTGTCAGATTTGTAACAAAACCAATTTTTTTTTTAGAAAATGGAAGAAAAAATTGAGAAGAATTCACCAACATTACAACGAAATGCTGTATATACAAAAACAGTAAGCTCTTTTGTTGATCTTTTTTGTTTACCATACATGTTAGGACTAAAAACATTAAGAAGCAGAATAATAATAACAATAAGTTTAAGTAAGTTTTTTGGTTTTTGATTATATTTCTTTTGCCGATGGAAAACGAATCATTGTTTGTATTTATGTGGACGAATAATGTATCTGATTATCTGCTTTACAACTTTCCTGATTAGCCTTTGCATAGTAAAGCTAACTATTTTAATATATTTGTGTAATGCAGGTTGTTTTGGGTTTTTTTTATTCCTACAGTCAAAGATTAGTCGTCTTCCAGCCTACTTGACCGTTCAGTTTGTACGGTTTTATTACAAGGAAAAGGAAGGCGTCAATGCAAAGATTCTTAAGGTAATTTGACGAAAAATCAATATAATTGCCCCATAAATAACCTTCTCAATTTCTCTTGTGTTATTACAAAAAATATAAAATGGCATCATCCAAGTGTGTTATTGTGTGTTTAGTGGATGTCTTTGGCTTCATCCAAGTGTGTTAATGTGTGTTTAGTGGATGTCCTAATAACAAATGAGCTGTCATTCACAAAATAATAAGCCATCTTGTACTTGCACATGTCAAAGTTAGAGGTCAGGGAATGTAAACAGGGTTTTTTTTTAATAAAAAGTTATTAAGGAATGGTTTTCATATTTGCCTTCTGTTATATAATGATCAACAACTGTTAGCTAATAACTTTCTATAAAAAAAATATCCATTACAGTGAAGAGTATTATTGTTTTGTGTAGGATGTGAAGTTTCCAATGATGTTTGATGCATTTGACCTCTGCTCAGAAGAACTTCAACAAAAGATGACCCCAGTCAGAGACAAATTTAAGATTCAGGAGGATAAAAAAGTTGAAGAAGTTACCAAGGTTTGTATTGCTTAATCGCAAAAGCTTGGAAGTAAATTCAGTTATATTTTATTTCATGCAATTCCAACAAGCATTTGATATTATGAGCATTGGAATAGCATAACATATTTTTGACAATGTACCACCCATGTCATTATAAAAAGTAGTTGCTCCTGGATATGTATAAAGATAATATACATCTAATGAATATGTATATACCTATATGAACTTGCATTACTTCAGGAAGTTTTTTCCTGTTATGTAGGCCAAAGCTGCAGGCACCAAACCACCTGAAGAAAAGGAAGATGTCAATTACCTAGCATTTGACTTTGAAGAAGGTAAGCAAATACGCAAGCTGATGATGAAACGCCTCAAAGTTCCTTAAAACATAAAAAAGTTATTTCTTTAATTGTCGGCCAATGTTGAATGGAGAAGACTGCCCTTTTTTTGTACAATGTTGATAATATTATTATTGAGGAGTATAGCTAAGATTAGAGGTTAAAATGCTTGCCTATCTGTCATAGTGTTTTGGGTCCAGTATTAGCTTATAGAGCAGTTTGCCTTTTCTGTTCATTCAAAATAATACTGAGAAGTGTAGGCAAGATTGGTGGTTAAGATTCTAAGGCCTGAAAATGAGGGCATGATGGCACACTAAAGGAGATGAAATAATACTAGTATCTGAGTAACCTGTCTTTACAACAAATTGAATAGGCCTAGTGGTATAAGATATTAGATAGAAACAGAGGCTGAAGTTGTTAAACATTGCACAACATAGAAAATTATTTCTCAAAGGCAAGCACTGTACTGTTTTTAGTAATATCTTAAAAGAATCAATACTATTATCAGATTGAACAGGCAGTTGATTACAAAATGCTATTCATGTATATCAAGAGTCACTCTTGAATGAGAGTGCAATAAAAATAACAAATATTCCATAGTGTTAATATATTGCTGTTTCTCTCTCAGACATAGGTAGTAATAATAGTGGTTATTATCAGTTACAAGCTGTGTTGACCCACCAGGGAAGATCAAGTTCATCTGGTCATTATGTTGGCTGGATACACAGGAAAGGAGGTAAGTTTCACTATGCCAAATATTTATCTAGTTCTTTATGCTTTTATTTGTTTATTATCCTTTCTTTCCTGTGAGTACCCTATTATTCTGGATACTTACGAAACAAGACCCCAAAGGATTATAGAGGTATCAGTGCTGTCATTCATTTTTTTATTTTTAAAGTTATATATTTTATCAGATCCCTTGCTGTGCATGTCACTTGTGTCCTTGGACAAAGCACTGTATACTGACTTAATCTACTGTTGTCCCTCTACAACCAAGAATATAAGTACAAGGTATGTTTAAATGGCAACACATTGATTACAACTGCAGCATGGAATTCACCCCAGGGAGCTGAATATGTGTGTCTGCTGCCACAATGCTACTGTAACAATGCTACTGCCACAATGCTACTGCTTCTATGTTGGTGACTGAGACAATGTGTTTGGTTTGGTTTTTTTTTTTTTTTTTTTTTCTTGTGTTTTTTTTTTTTTTGTTTTTTTGTTTTTTTGTGTTTTTTTTTTATTTCAAGGTTAACAGTGAAATATTTGTACCATATTGCTAGTATTCATCTTCATCATTATAATTGTTTTTATTTTTATTGTTGTTGTTTTTTGTTATTTTATTATTATTATTATTATTATTATTGTTATTATTATTATTGTTGCCAACAGATGGATATGTGCACCTAATAAGATGACATTATTATTATTATTATTATTATTATCATCATCATCATCATCATCATCATCATTAGATTACCTCATGCCTTTGTGTATTAGCTTAGCTCTGGGCTTAGCAAGTATTATTTCTAATTCCTGCCTTGGGGTTTTAGTTTATATTCGTGTCTGAATGCAAGGATGACTGATATAAAAGAATTGAAAGGAAACTAAAATGATTAATGTTTTGGAACCATTTAATTAATTGATAGACTGATTAAGAGAATAATTGGTAATGTGCTGAGTTGTAATCAGAAAAAACTGCCTTTTCAGAAAATTAAGTTTTTATTTTAATAGGAAAATAATAATGTGCTATTTATATAGTGCATATTGCAATTAGTTAATTGATGGAATTAATTAAAAGAGTAATTGCTAATGTGCTGAGTTGTCAGGAGAAAAAAGAAATTTGCTCTTTAAAATGTTTTTATTAATTCTTATATAGTAATGTGTTAATTATTTATATAGTGCATTTTACCTTATCAGTCCTTCTGTTCTTTATATAGAATTGAATTTAATTTATAGGGCATCACTAAAAAGAAAAAACATTACAAACATCACACATTTAAAACAGCAATTTACATTGAGATAATTATAAAGGCCCAAAACCAGAAGTCGAAAATTGCAGTAAAAATATAATTATTAGTTAAAAATCACATTAAAAAAGAAATATAAAATAAAATAAACAAAATTTTATGGTTCTGAAACCTGCCTTCCAATTCCAGCATCTTGGCCTCGAGAAATGAAGTGATATTTGTCTTACTACCAAAAATATTCGCACTCCTTAAGCCTCAGTATGAGACTTGGGTGTCTACACCATTATTCCATTCTGTAAATAGCAAGTACCGTAAATGCTCGAATAAGTGCCGCTGCGCTTATAAAATTTGTGGAGCCTTCAATGTGGCACTTATTCGAAAGGAGTCCTTATTCAAGAGCGGCGTTTATGAAAAAGAAATTGGCGTGGAGCTTTCCCGTAGTTCAGTAGGACTGTCATAGAAGTGCTTATGTCTTCATTGTGTTATTTATTTATTTTAACACTGTATACATTGTATTTAAAAGGTTGTTTCTCAAAGCGTATCATTACACACATGGTAAGGTCATAGTACTCTCGATTAAATGCCACGATGCTTATTTAAGAGCTGTGTTTAGCAGGAAAAAAATCAGGTTTGGTGCAGCGCTTATTCGAGAATTTACGCTAAGAATTTTTTACAAAGTGTTTATTTTGCCAGCTATAACTTTGCCCACGATTAAAGTTGAAGTGCGCCTGCACTAATCATAACAGATATGCTGTGTAAAAAAAAATAGGCTAAATATATACTTCCTTGTTTGCAATGTATTGAGTCTCAACCATTGCACGGTAGGTGTAGGCTGAGCTATGGCAGCTACACCTCTGGGGAAGCCATTGGTTCCACAAATGTACCAAAGCAAGTAGTTATTTTAAGATTGAATTTGTAGTGCAACACATACATGTAGTACCATTCTGCAAAAAGCAAGTAATTTTTCAGTTTTATTTTTTTCTAAATCACAAAAAAAAAAAATTTTTTTAATAAATTTAAAAAAAATAATAAAAAAATAATAAGAATATTTAATGAGATATTGTACCCCTAATTCTAATAAATGATATTGGGATGAGTAATTTTTGCATTCAATAATAAATTTTTTAAATATATATAACTAATGATAATAAACTGTAATTATAATAAAACTTGATATCGCAGAAATTTAGTACTCTAAGGTCATTGGTCAGGTCACATGGTCAGTATTCATGAAATAGCAATTTTTATTTTCTCAGGGAAGTTGTGTAGCATGAGTGTGAGGAAGTGTGCCTCAGGCGTCACATAAACCAAATTAAGTACTTCCTGAACATGTTAACGACTAACATCCCAATTAGCGTGATTAATTATAAAATCAACATGTTGACATTAGTCAGTGGGCCAACCAACAATATTCTATGCTATTATAATGGGGTGTGACACCACACAGGTGATGGGTGTGTACAATATACTGTATGTGCAATCCGCACATGTGTTGTTTTTTTTCCCCAATCACTTCGTCTTAGGGTAATAATTTTGTTACCCAACTTAGAAATATGTGTCATTTTATTCAGAAAAGTATTTATTTTTTTATTTATTTTTCTTTTCAACACTTGGTATTAATTAATTATTAAGGTCATAAATACTTATATTGGTTATACGGTTAATTAATTGTTAATTTTCATAATTCTGAGATGTTGAGTAATAGGGAGTTTTCGATTTGTGCGACGATGTGATGCTAGAACGAAATCACTCATGCGTGACTGTCCTACCTGGCATCCTACATTCTCTGCATACGTAGATTTGGCAAAATTGCGTTGCAGAATCTACTCGACGAGGTGACCTTAACATTCTCGCATGCGCAGATGACTTATAGTGATGTCATTACGTTCTACGCCCTACCGTTGTTGTCTTTCTAATCTAGGAATGTGTGCAAAATATCTAATGACGTACAAAGCGACCAGTAGATAGAAACAATGCCTAAATTTTTTGTCCTGAAACTACATTTAATGTTAGGGCAAATCTACCAACAACATAATTTGTATTTTAATTTTTTTTTTTGTCATGTTGATGACACACTGTGGGTTATATATATTTTTATTCCTTTATTTATTTACCTATTTATTTAATTGTTATGACTCTAAGAGGCCCTCATACAAGTACAACACATTAATTAATAGATATAAAACTAAGTGTAATACATTAAAATTAAAGTTTGTATATAATTAACAAATAAAACAATCATCTAGAAATTCATTTTAAGTGTACAACTTAATCTTCTAATTGTATTTTAAATATAATTATGCTAATATTGCCATTTTATAGAAGGAAATATGTAAGAAATTAAAATTCAATTCGGCCTTGTTTACTTAAAGGTCTTCTCTAACTTCCTGATTAAAGAAATAGGCAGATTGCTGGAACTGAATTCCTTGATTACAGAACCAGCAGGATGAAATGTAACGAAAAATATTGCACATCTATGAAATATAACTAAGATCAAAGCTTTCATGGTTTTTCTAGACTCGTTCTCAGTACAACAAACAAACATAGTAGCCAAGAGTCAAGCCATGATAATTTTCATGGTGGGAGTCACAACATTTCATTTATCCATTGACCAGTGTTTCATTGTGTGTACCTTTAGTTGTACTTTTGAGATTTACTGAGTCACTTATTAGGGCTATTTGTGGCCTTCAGTAAAGAACGATCTGAAGCGCTTAAATGCTGATTTGATTGATGTGTAATGAAATACAGTAATCCATAGTGACCATCAAATTTAAACAGTCACTGATAATTTCTAGAGATGGAAAAAGATTTTATTTAGCTTTTATTTTTAATTGTTTTTAGTTTTTGTCTTCTCAGATTGTGATTCATTCATATGTATTGACCACTTGCATTTTTAAAAAATTATTCTTTATCAATAAAACAAAACAAAAAATGATATAAAGCCCAAGTCAGTACTTGACATAACTTAAGCACATGCATCGTCATAAGACATAAGCTGTACATTTTGAGCTCCTATTTTGATTAATTTTAGAATTATATTGACCATTAATTTGACCATAGCATTATATTGGCCATTGATATGCATTGACCACACTTTTGAGTCTTTCATCGTGTACCCCATTTTAGTTGTACTTCCTGAGTTTCCTGAGTCACTTATGAGGGGGATCTTTTGTGGCCTTCAATTAGGAACAATTTAAGCACTTAAAAGCTAAATTGATTTCTACATACTGAGTGTTTCAAGTGACTTATGGGATTATTAGACCCACTGATGACACATTCAGGTGATCAGTTACTGTTGCATGCACACACTTTTATTCCTAAAGTTTTCCATCTTACAACTTTACAATTTCCACAGTTTGTTTCCATTTTTACCTGTTTAGGACAGGATGGTTTGTTTTTAAAATTTGTATTGACATATTCCATAGTTCTTAGCTCTTTTTGGGTCAAACACACCTGTTTTTGATAATTGCCTATCTACATCAGTGGTGTGTTTAATGGGTGCACAGTTGCAAACATTCCCAGAGAAAGTTGTATCCCACTCCTGGTACCCCCACTTAAGTATTCAAATATTACCTCAATGACCATGCTAGTTCCATCCTCACACTTTCCAACACCCCTCTCTAGCTCAATCAAATCCAACATTTGACTACACCTAGAGACACCAATGGTCTAGTACAAATAGACATTGTAAATTGCTTTTATATATATATATATATTTTTTTTTTTGTAGCTGAATGGATTAAATTTGATGATGACACTGTTACACCAATTCTTGAAGAGGATATTCTGAAATTGTCAGGGGGTGGTGACTGGCATTGTGCATATGTACTCATCTATGGACCAAAGAGGCTAATTGATGACCAGGCCAGCAGTGGACCTGAGAAAATGGATGAGTAATGTTCGGGACATTAGGCAAAAGAAATGTCATGGTTAAAATATTTCTGAAACTGTTTCCAGTTGCCATAGAAATTGTCAATCATCACTGCAATATTTATCCTTAGTAGTAACCATAGAAACCATGCTACATGGTTAGCCTGTTTTCCATAAAAGCTTGACATACTATCATCAACAGTTTTGAGCAATGCTGATTGGTCTATAGAATGGTACCGCGAAGCATCAGTAACAAAATTCCGTAACATTTACACAATGTAATGATTGTGATAAAAATACTGTAGCGACAGCGTAACGATTTTATGGAAGCCAGGCTGTACCTACCGTTATTTGTGGTGCTAATTGGTTATATCAGTCCTACATGACAACCAGTGCTACTTTTTACAATGTTTCCAGTGAAATATGGTGCGATATTAATATCAAAATGTTAACACACCACATGGGTGCAATTTGGACTCGATTCCATTGACACATGATACCAGTATCACATAGTTAAAGATGGTATTGGTGTCATATTGTTTGTGTACTAGTACCACATGATACATGCTAAACATGGTACCAATGTCAGATGCTACATATTACACATACTGTACCAGTACCACACAATAGCAGTTGTATATGGCACATGCTACACATGATACTAATACTGCATGGTACATGTTGAACATGGTACTGGTGTCATATGGTATGTGGTACACATGGTATCAGTACTGCATTATAACTGTGCCGCAAGATTCAATTCATAAATGGTTATAGGGCTTCTATAAACTAGTGCTAATAATACCAGTAGAACATTCATCCGGTACTAATGTTAGTATCACACAGTACAAGTATTAAGGTTATATTTATTGTATCACAAAACTTAAGTGCATAGCATAATACTGTATTAATTGTTCATCAGTCTAACCTATAGTTAGTCTTTATCTAGTACTGATGTATTTAATGCATATTTTTAACTACAGTAAGTTACCACTTTGTGCACCATGCTAAAGCCTCAAGACAGAGGGCCAAAGTTTCTGACTTCTTTCAAGTGGATTAGCTAGGTGATATTTTTTTCCTAGTACTTATCTAAGCTTCCTATCCTTGAGTATAATTGGCATGAGTTAACGCTCATCTTGTACCAGTGCTAGCATATTTTCATTTGTTTTTTTCTCTATCCATTAGAATCTGTTTATTCTCTCCAAATCTAGACTTCCAATTCTCTTCCTTATTGTCTATTTCAGATTCTCATACTTCTGATGTATAAATTCCAATGTGGTACATCAGTACATTGCCATAAAATGTGTAATGCTTTCTTATTTTTAAATGTTTATACCTTTATACTGCCCTCTAGGCAGGACCTAGGTTCAATATCAAATATTTTAATGTTAATATAATTCACTGAAAAGAATTACGAGTATGAAAACTGACTGCCATAATAATATATGTAATGTTAAAAATGTTCATTTGTAAATCTACAAAAAAGTATATACTTTAATCAAATTGAATTTGCATAAATTGCACCTGTTTCTGTGATAATTATAATTAGCATTTATTTTTTGATACAGTTCTAAACTCACCTGTTAATGGTATCAACTTGTCCTTTATGTGAATGTCATTTTCATTACAATTGCTCTCATTGTTCTTATCATTTTATTGTTCTGTCTTTTATTGGGCTCAAAATTTGATTATATTTTCATGTTAATTCAACCATGGAGTTATGATTCAATTACTATCTTTACATATAGATTTACTTCATCCTGTTAAAATATTCATGCTAATTTCTATATTCATACCAACATTCAAATTTGAAATTTTGTTAGTTTGCATCACATGCAGAACGTAAATCATTCAAGTACAACATTGAAATATAAACTCGGTGGTTAAAGACAGGAAAATCCCTAAAAGTTCATCAATAGTGAGCTTTCAATTGCACGACGACGGTAGAACGTAGTGACGTCACTAAAAGTCATCTACGCATGCGAGGACGTTAGGGTCACCTCGTCGAGTTGATTCTGGAATGCAATTTGACCAAATATACGTATAGCATAGAAGGTAGGACGCCAGGTAGGACGGTCACGCATGAGTGATTCCGTTCTAGCTTCGCGTCGTCGCACAAATCGAAAGCTCCCAAATTAGATTTAACCCCTTGGACATTGTTGCTAAGGTCTCGCAAAACGACAGTGAAAAAACATACCGAAACATGTGCGTTTGTGGGACAACACATGCGTATTCCTGGCCCTTTTCTGATTGGTCAGTTATGTTTCATTTACGCTCCGGAAAGGTCTTTTGCAACATCAATTAAGTAAGCAAAGTTAATAACTTCCAATGAAACAAAAAAAACCCAAAAAAGATGCTTTACTATTGTAACTTGATTACCAACCAATTTAATGACCTAATAGATGCTATACAACGAATAATGCTGTAAATGTAACCTAAAAAAAAAAGTATTAAGGCCTTTAAGATTGCAGGATTGCTGTATATTTTGGGGGGACGATGGGTCCTATTTGAATTGGTGATATGACGATCGTCCTGAATTTATATTTCGTTGTCACTTGATGTAATTATAGTTCCATGGTCACGTGAGGATACAGTAGGATTACAGTAAGCCTACAGTACATGCAATGACAATTAACATGATTGCCAGGAAGTGAGTAAATGAGGGAATGGGAACGTTTTATACATCAAGTTTGGTCAATATCATATATAAACGTTAGGGGAATGTATGCACTTTTTTATTTCCGAATATAAAATACTTAGATTTCAAATATCAAAGTGTTAAATAAAGTGACATCATTATATTGCGCTCAGTGCAACTTTTGAAAGTGTAACAACTTTAAAGACGTTAATTGTTATCCTGAGTCTGTGTGTTGAAATCAAGGTGGAAGTCATTTGTATATCAGCTGTTTCATATCATATCATTAACGTCAAATTTCGCCATTTTTTTAGTGGATTTTAGTTTCAATGCTTTCCAGCAGACACCAGCATAATCTGTCCTCATATCCTCGGGGTTATAATAATAATAATGTAATAGTTCTCGCACGCAGATCTCCAACTGTCATCACAGTTTTTTTTTGTTTTTTTTTTTTTTTTTTTTTACGTATATTACAGTACTAAACTGTTTAAACGTTGCGCTGTGGAATCCAGCAACTTATGTTATTCACGCCAGGGCGGTCAGTGTTTACAAAGTTACCGTACCCTGGCCGCAGCAGGTTTCCATAGATATCTAGGGGCTTAGCGTGTTTCTATGGCGACCCTGGATGTAGAGGGTTGTTGTTTTCAGTGCAATTAAAGTTCCATAAATGCTGGACCTTCACCTTGGTTGCCGATGATATCATGAAGATATAAAATTAATTTTATTCTTTCATGATGATATCATCCAAAATATGTCTCCATTGATTGACCAACGACAGATTTTATTTAATTACTATCTAAATATAAAAAGCAAGTTACACTGTTCGCGACGGTCTGTCCACATTCAAAATTATGCAAATTTAATCCTGACAAACAAGCTGAACTAATTCAAATCTTAAAGTTTTTTGTTTCAAGATGCAAAAATACAAAGTAACGAGATATATTTTCAATCATGTATTTTCAAGTATCCAGATATCAAAATATTAGTTATGTTCAATTGTGTTTATAAAATTCATTTAAAAAAAATTAAAATGATGATGATGAGGAGGAGGATGCATTTTAACGTATTAGCTTCTTGCGCGGATGTAGGATTTTTGAGAATATGGACCTCTAGTTGCCCGAAAATTTCACTCTCGTACCTTAAAATACATTACTGTTACTAGACCTATGTTCATATCAACAATACAATAATTATTTTTCTTAATGCCAATTAGATGGGTTCGATCGCACCCAGTGGCTGCTCCAGGATTTCCCCGACAGGGGTAGGGGGCCGCCAAGGAACCCGGGCTATATCCCCCTAGCATAAATTAGCATCCGTTCCAATATAAAAATAATCTTTGCAAGCCCTTTAAATAGGCTGGTAATCAAATTGATGCATTTCCAAGTAAAGAGTCTTTAAATCAATGCAAACCGAATTGTTTCAATCTGTAACTCGTCGGAAATTGATACACTTGTTGATGATCCATTAAAATTAGCAATTCAATGTAATTGATTTGTATGGGGTTGTCAGGTTTCACCAACTTACAAAGACCACTTTAAATTATGATTTATCGGACTAGAAACGACCATAATCTGGCAACGTGACTGTAATATCCTTTATTTACTTTATAAGGCTTTGAACAAAATAGCTCAAGATACGTTCAACAGTAGCTACACAAGTCCTCGTAATCTCGAAAGCTCCGATGAGGGCAGTATAATAGAGGCAGTAGAGTATATTGGCCCTAACGGCCGCCCATACAAAAAAGATCAATTAATCAATTAGTCGAGTGTTTCGTCTATAGTTCTTCATCGGAGCTAAAAAATAAAAAGAAAAAAGAAATATTTAAATATGTACACCCCTAAGCTTAAGAATACTAATAAACGCGGGCTCATACAGAAGTTCCACATAAAATTAAATTATCCATTGAGGTATGAAAACAGTAGTATCTTGTAGTCACAGCCGTTTGGAAAACAACCTGTGTATCAATGATTACAGTATTCGTGAACAAATTTTCGTTATTGTATTAAAATCGATATCAACCACATATAGATTGTCACACGTTGCGCTTCATTCAACTTTAAGAGGCTCGTTTCCTACTGACCCCTGAAATCCGGATCAATATTTACCCAACAAATATTGTGATAAAATACTAATTTGCAAGAAATCTGATTAGAAAATTATGCTTTAAATATTGTGGTTTATCACAAAGTCTAACTAACGCTTTTATGATTGTACGCCTATTAATTCAAACTTTCATTAGAGCAGGGAGTTGTTATAGAGGCCTATATAGACCTAATACATTATCGTGTATATCAATCCTTTGGGAAGTTAAGCCTTGTCTATTGTGTACACGGTATTTTTATCTTTTAACTTGGCTTGCTATGTTGCCGGATTCGCCGTACCGTAGGGGGAACTGTCATATGGGATGGCACACATTGTGGAACAGCACTAAAGGGTCGGATGTGTCCCTGACGTGGATATTGCAACTCTGATGACCGATGTAGTAGCTAAGAGATTTTAGCACGGCTGATGACTCACTCATAAAGGAAGAAGGCTCTCCTGTTGACTCCAATAATTTGTGCTGTCATTCTCCACTCATTTTAAAGATATGCTGCCTGTCTGTTGAGCTAATATATGCGCATAATATAATTAAATATTTAAATTACTTATTTAAGTAACATCTTTCAATTGAACAAGAAAAAAATATTTATCTCGTTAATTAACAAACTTATAAACCGTTGCTATTATTCTCTGATAGACCTTTAACTTAGCTGTCGAGAAAGGTGTGGTTATTGAGTTTCATACCCTGATGGGTAGGAAACTCACAAGCACACGAACATCGACCAAAACCACATTTTGGTAGTGAAATCTCAGAGCGTTTAGAGAGCGAAAATTACACCTCCAAGAAAGGAGGCGAGAAAATTAGTAGTGAAATCTCAGAACGTTTAGAGAGTAAGCGAAAATTACACCTCCAAGAAAGGAGGTGAGAAAATTAGGATGTTAGGGTAATAACAATTTAAAATACAATAAATTAAGGAACATTTGAAATCCTTCGAAAGATTGTGCATTCGGTGATTACTGCGTCAAAGTGTATGTGTTTTATTACCCAGTACTCCACCGCGCACGGTAGGTTTGCTGTCTCTTATACACATCTAGATGTGTATAAGAGACAGCGTTAGGGGAATGTATGCACTTTTTTATTTCCGAATATAAAATACTTAGATTTCAAATATCAAAGTGTTAAATAAAGTGACATCATTATATTGCGCTCAGTGCAACTTTTGAAAGTGTAACAACTTTAAAGACGTTAATTGTTATCCTGAGTCTGTGTGTTGAATTCAAGGTGGAAGTCATTTGTATATCAGCTGTTTCATATCATATCATTAACGTCAAATTTCGCCATTTTTTTAGTGGATTTTAGTTTCAATGCTTTCCAGCAGACACCAGCATAATCTGTCCTCATGAACATCGACCTTGCGAAGAAAACCACATTTTGGTAGTGAAATCTCAGAGCGTTTAGAGAGCGAAAATTACACCTCCAAGAAAGGAGGCGAGAAAATTAGTAGTGAAATCTCAGAAAGTTTAGAGAGTAAGCGAAAATTACACTTCCAAGAAAGGAGGTGAGAAAATTAGGATGTTAGGGTAATAACAATTTAAAATACAATAAATTAAGGAACATTTTAAATCCTTCGAAATATTGTGCATTCGGTGATTACGTCTATTAGGCCTCGGCCTATAAGCGCGCAAGTAATATTTCAGCGTGTCCTGGCACTATATTTAATTTAGGCCTTAGTTTCTTAGAAGCACTGCTACTTAAATATCTCTAGAATTAGCGATTGTTTAGGGTTTCTGAAATGGCTTCAATGTGGTAAGAAATTTCTTATTACTAAGACAAGATACAGCCCTCGAGTATAGGCCTAGTTATGTTACCACAAATAAACAGTACAGAAATTGGATTAATTAAATTTGCACTATATCTTATATGTCTTTGTGGTGCTAATATTGTTTCCTGGGGATTTCGTTATAAAATGGCATACGTAACTCGAGTGCCCTCATACATAGCCTATCATCCATAAAGTCCGGGCCAAGATTACATTAATTGATTGTCTTGTGTAACTAATCCAAGACTTTATATGCAACATTAGGTCTACTGATGATGCCATGTGTACTTATATTTTCCTACCGATATGAGGTATGAGGTTCGAATCCTATGTCATTCAACCTAGACGGGTTCATTACATGTGTCCTTCTAGGACGTCCCAGTGTACGAGGAACGTGAACAAGAAATCATTATTCACTTGCACTCTAGACAGAGGTATAGATGAACTGATAACAGAATGTCGAATTCATTTATATTGTGGACCCACTGTTGAAACCAATTCACTGAAACAAGCATTAAGGTATATCCTAGAGTATTAATTGCTGACCTTAAAGCCATTTAAACATTTTACTGTACAGTGCACTGTTGTGACTTGGAGGCTACAATGTTGTGACGTGTCCTGTGTGCTTTAGCTTACTGGATTAACATTGCAAAAGATTTTGTCTGTAATATAACGAGAGTACTGTGTGGGTAGCTACGGTACATTAGTACCTTTAAATACAGTAGCCAGACAATCCTCCCATTTTCGTCGTTTTCCCCTCCCCATACTCATGTCATAATATCATAAGTCTATACATATTCTCCCATTAACACCACAGAATGCGGAAAACGCCCCCAATTTAAAGGCAGAATAAACAGTTTCTATTGTTGAATTGTTCCAAGTATTATACAATTTAATTTAAGTAGGTTATCTAAATAGGCTATTTTTATTATATTGTAAGTTTATGTTAGGCCTGTGTAATTTAGAAAACTTTGCTTAAAACATCACTCCACTTATAGTGGTTAATAACAACTGGATTAAATTAAATTGAATACAAAATATCACGGAAATACTTTACAAAATAATACATAATTATAATAATAGAGTAGCATTTAAAATGCTGTCCAACTCGTTATTATATTAACCAGTATCGTTATATAGGCCTACCTATGCTTGATGCCAACATTGCTATAAGCACTGTCAATTTTTTTAATCATTTCAATATTTGTTATTGAGCAGAGCATTTGCTAAATATTAGAAAGACAATTGTATATCGGCCCTGAACTCTTTCACATTTTTAAAAATGATAACTCAAATCTTGTTC